ACTCCCCGCTGCTTTCACGAAGCGATCAATTTAAGAGTCCATCAAATCAGACTTTCTGGCCGCTGGCCTCGCTGTCGTGTCTGAGTCCAACTTCTATAAATTGTGGCGGAAATACTTTTTCCACGTTTCCCTCGCGCACTCTAACACGTTCACGAAGTGCGCTGTCTGTCATGAGTTGAAGGAACGTATACAATATGCTGCTCTTCCTCGAGATCGAGAACAAGCTCGAGACGATATGAAATCTCACCAAAGGAGGCAAGTTGAACACAGATTGGACTATAGTCGAGCGAAAACTGATTCGATGGTCCGTCTGAACGAGCGTTTGTGTCTCATCATTGACGGCATGGATCAGAAGAAAACAACTATCCCCCATATTGGTCAGGCTAACTACTCGAAAGCACTTAGGCATGAGATGATGATGAAGATGAACCTGACAGGCGTCATTGCACACGGTGGAGACCCTAGTATATATGTATACACGTGGTTTCCGTATTTCAAACACGATTCGAACACGGTCGCTACTTGTGCTATGAGAACCCTTGTCGAGATTCAAGGGAGCGGGACGCCACTGCCACGATGTTTGCGCATTCAAGCGGATAACTGTTGGCGGGAAAACAAGAACAAGTACATATGTGCGATGGCTGCGCTGTTGGTTAAGTTCAAAGTTTTCGAAGAGGTAGAAATAGGTTTCATGCTGGTGGGACACACCCATACAGACATTGACGCTACTTTCAGTGTTTTCTCGAAGAAATTGAAAGACATAGACGCTTATACTATGGACGAGTTTTTCGAGCTCATAGAGCAATCACACAAAAAGCCTCACAAATGTATTTTCCTCGATACGATGGAAGATTGGATTAGTATAGTAGACCCGTGCGTTGCGTCAGACATTACCGGTATTTTGAAACCGCACTTGCTTAAATTTTTTATGGTTGGAGATAATCCGGGCATGTTGTACAAGGAGTTTTGCGATGACGACGAATGGTTGTCCGAGGAAGGTCCGATTTATTGGTTCAATCAAAACCCCGATGAGAGCTATGCAGGTCCTTCGTGGTCGTTTGACCCGCCTCATGTGCAACCCCTTCCTCAAAATGACTATTTGAATGACAAAAGTGGTGTTGTTCGATTCTGCGAGTTGCTGGAGAGTAGGCGGTGGTGCACTTACAATGACCATGAGGTGAGTAGGAGAGAAAGAGCTTTGTGTTACTGGAAGGAGGTTATCAAACATGGCGATGAGATCATCGCCAACGGGTTGTCCTCACAACCTCAAGAAAGTTTTTGGCCACGACCAGGACTGCTCGAAAGCGATCAGTAACCTCCTCATCGCAGTGTCAACATCGACGACAGGGAACCCCTGTTTGTTGGACGAAGAAAAAATCGCCCGAAGACTAGTTTCGACCCCCTCGTGCATGTTGATATGGGCACTTTTCTTATCTTTCGCCCCTCCGACGATGATCTGTCCAGCGGTGTGCCAATCCGGGTGGGCAAAGCTCTTTCTCGGGTGGTTGTTGATTATAATTCGGAAAATTATAATCAAGTGCTAGTGGAATATTGGGTGCCGACTGGGAGAGCTAAGTCGCTCGAACAACTGTATGAGAACGCATGGGAAAAACGATGGAAAATGACTGAGCAGACACAATGGCAGAATGATGACTCGATCGCTTTCGGTTGGGAGAAACCGGTCCGAGGTATAAGACCATTCACGACTGGACTTGTCATTCCTTCCAGTGTTCGATTGAATGCTGAAGTTGCACTTCTAGATCTGAGTCCTTCTGGTGAAGGGAGTGCAGATGGAGGGGACAAGGGCGACGAGTGCACGTCCGCCGAATAGAGTGAGGGAGTGAGATTTTTGAAAATAACTGTTTGGACGAACGAGAATTTAGACTGGAGTATATTATTTTTGCGATGATTCTGCGTGGCGAATTTCGTCCACGTTCCACGGTTGAATTTTTTAAGATAGCTGGTGATGGTTCGGCAATTTTCGAAGTTAAGTTCATCATGAAGGCGATTTTTTTACTATTTCCACATTTCATTTTCATTTCTGTTTGCATTTCATGTGTTGTGTAGGGAGTGCGACAGGAGTCATGGACCATCGGCATGATTATGCATGTCCCATTCACCCTTGTGCATGCGGATCCCGAGGTTCTGGAGGCGATACCGAAAACGACCCGTGGATGACCGTCGTCCCCTTCTTTGACAAGCCTATCGATGCGTGGTCCGAGGCAGAATGGGATAGAGTCATCTTGGCAAGGAAATGCCCATGGCATAAGGACTACAAATTTGTTCCGCGATGGAGTGGGGAAGTCTGATCAAAGTACCTCATTATGTCATTGGTGTCAAACAACTTCCGTCCCTGCGTGTCAAACATGCCAAGGACAATCCATGAGGTAGAGCAAGTGACATGGTGTGTGCGTGACGCCATCGGTAAGTTTTTGGCAGGTGTCTGTAGGTTTGTAAGGATGAAGTACATTTCGGTGTTCTCAAGGGTCGCGACGAAGGGACAGCCACAAACCCTTGTTTTCGGGTCGTCTATGAATGCCTTATACAGGTTTTGTTCTAAAGGGACGCGGGGACATCGGTAGGAACTTCAAATTTTGTAAATGATAGCGTTTTTGAAAGTTTACATTGTTGAGGCTCGTATTGTTTCATTTAGACGTAGTTCAATGTACAGTTGGCTTGTAGCGTTTAATGTAGACGTACTTCAATCTTGCATTTGCGATTTCTTGCACGTGTCGGTACAATGTTGAATTTTAGTTACTAGTACAATTTTTGACTTTTAATTTTTCATGGGTACGACATTTCTTGAAGTGAGACAAAATCCATGGTACTCACGTGAATTTCAGCTTCATATGACAATGTCATATCGGTTTATGATTTTTTGTCAAAGTGCATCGGAATCCATACATAAACCATCTAGTTTCGTCTTCACACAATATCATGTGTAGTATGTCTGATTCAAGTGCATTTCAATGTATGACAATGATATGTCAGTTTCGTCTTCAAAGTCACATAAATTGTCGAAGTGTGATAGAGTCCAAAATTATCGAAGTATCACAGTGTTGGATTCCATCCTTAAATCACACCGAGCAGACTGAGTGTCACATCTGTTAATAAGTATGTAGTAGATAAATTATCGAAGTGCGATGAAACCCATAGTCACTGTACTTAAGCCGTAATCTCGTTTGTCGTGTCATTCGTTTGTCGTGTGATTCGTTAAACTTTGTCGTGATTAGTATACATTTAATACAGTTAAAGCAAAAATTATCGAAGTGCGACGGAATCCATACTTAGTCTAGACTATTAGTACTTAAACCATCCGTGTGCTTGCCGTAAATGTCCCACTTCGATTGGGTTTCAATAAATTAAGGGAAGTCACAATGTCATCTAAAAGAGGTTCGACACAATGCTGACTCAAAATTAAGCAAGGTGTAAAGAAATCGNTAAATTAAGGGAAGTCACAATGTCATCTAAAAGAGGTTCGACACAATGCTGACTCAAAATTAAGCAAGGTGTAAAGAAATCGAGAGTTCAACAATTCATGTTGTAATCGTAACGACTTTTAAGTTACAAAATTGATGGAAGTGCAATGGAATCCACACTTAATCCATCATGATCAGTAAGTGATTGCCTTGAATCTCCAGTTTAGATTCAATTTATGGCCTCTCAATTGCATTCTTCGGGTTCCTAAGTTCCATTCAGGTCCAAAATATAGCGATTTTAACATGAAATCAATAGCGTGCGAGTACCAATTTAAAAATGTAATGTCTTAGCCCAGTCGCACTTGCCACAGCATCCATGTTGTTGTTGTTGTTGTTATCCCTGGCAGTATCGTTGTTGTTATTGGTGTTGTTGTAGTTGTAATCGCTCCCGGGCGAGCATGAGCTCAGGAGTGCGGTTGAAGTTATTGAAATCGTTGTTGCTGTCGAGTGCATCGCCATATATATATATATATATATATATACTAGGCGATCGAGTGGAGCGAGGCTCTATGAAGCCTGCCTCATCGCCATATCTATATACTTATACTAGGCGATCGAGAGAAGCGAGGCTCTATGAAGCCTGCCTCATGGCCATATATCTATCTATATATACCTCATGGTCATATATCTATCTATATATACATATACTAGGCGATCGAGAGGAGCGAGGCTCTAAGAAGCCTGCCTCATCGTCGGACCTATGTATGTACACTAGGCGATCGAGAGGAGCGGGGCTCTATGAAGCCTGCCTCATCGCCATATATCTATCTATATATACTTATACTAAGCGATCGAGAGGAGCGAGGCTCTAAGAAGCCTGCCTCGTCGCCGCACCTATATATGTACACTAGGTGATCGAGAGGAGCGAGGCTCTATGAAGCCTGCCTCATCGCCACACATATATACGTATAGCTAGGCGATCGAGAGGAGCGAGGCTCTATGAATCCTGCCTCATCGCCATATATCTATCTATATATATGTATACTAGGCAATTGAGAGGAACGAGGCTCTAAGAACCCTGCATCGTCGCCATGACAACTTGTACTCTCCACGCCAGATACCAACAAAGTTGAATGTATCTTGATCAATCCACTGCCAGTTGCCTGTTTCCATATAACTAATTCAACCCATTGCTAACTCGCTGATTCAAATGAGAAAGGATAAGTGAGATCTTGACTCAGAGAGACTTATCAACCTTGAGATTCTGAATTGATCTCTATCATATGATTTCGTTTCTAAATTGAATGAATGGTATTGCTTGAGGTCATTATGGACATGAGGCTCATAATTAACTTTTAAGAGGGAAGAAACATAGTGGAACCGTTGGGACAAACAGGCTGGGAATGAATTTTTTTCATTACCTAGACCAATCACGCGAGCGAATTGATAGTGAGGGTATGAGTTAGGTGGTAGGTCGACGGTGAGCACCAAACACTGGGTCATAAGGCTAGAAGGGATCTTCTAGATCCCAACGTCGAAGAAAATACGTTAAGATTCTTTCGGACTGTGCTGTGTGTACAGGGTTCAGTGCTCTTGGAGAGGACTACGAAAGAAATCCGCAAGGGAACTATAAATTCTGTTATCATTGGATAACAGGTCGGTATAATTCCGACTCGACTTCCCCATGACTTGATACCCACACCTAAGACAAAACCTAAGAAGGGAACAGATAAAACTTCATCATGTATCTACAACTAAAGTTGTCCAAATCACACTCAGAGGTCTTTGAAAATGTGAAGGGTCGGGGTAAAAGGAGTCATGTTCAGGAAGGAATGTTGTTTTCAAGGTTTTGGGGTGTAAGAGACTCGTCATGAATGGATTAAAGGTTGACGCTTGTAGCGCATTCTGTATCTGCATTTGTATGCGTGTATGTGATTTTCTTTCATCTGCATAGGTGTTGGACATTGTGCTGTCTTCTGAATTTGGGATCGTCTGAGATATTCGGGCAAGGGACACAACAATCGTGAAAGTGAGGTTCACCGCTCATTCAGCTCCCCTGACTTACATACATACATATATATATATATATATGTGAGTGAGATCGTAGGCTGGTCGGTACCTAGGAAGTCATTTGTCTGGGATTTCTTTTGAGGAGAATGAGAGATAACTAAGAACTTTACTCTGGCATTTTCATAAAGTCAACAAACGAAACATAGAGTCATTGTCATGGTAAGCTAAGCATGGAAGACTGTCCGAGAAAGTCGACCTGATTAGGTAGTCGGTCCGGGAAATTAGCACCTCGGGACACGACATACGGGTCAGTCTTAAGGCGTTCTACCGCGCGTATGCCTATGCTACGGCGATCGAGAAAACACCCTCGGTTGGCCTACCTCTGCGATTGCATATAAAAACCTTCGTATGTGGGTCAGTAGCTCAGTAGGGATACGCCCACCTAAGGGATGGTGACAACTCCTGCAGGTGGAGGTATGTTGTACCTCGCGGGACCCTAACCTGTCGTAGGGATTCGCGAGAGGTATAGGACGCGGGCACGGTTGGAGTTGGTATTTCGTGCAGTGACCGAGAGACTCCTGCGTGACACGACCGTGAGGTCCGACACAAAAACTACTTTGCGTCTGGGTGTGGGACCGCACGACAGGTGGTGCCGTTGCCGGGGATCTCGCTTCCTAGCCGAGGTCCTCAGTGAACGGACCCGGGTTTGGTAAGTTGATGATCTAGGCAAAACGACAACTCTAATCTTTTTACCGGGATATAATTTGACCAAGGATTCTGAGTGGGGAGTACGCAAGGGTGGTCATAGCGTATAAACCACTTGAGGATTTATAGAACGGAATAGATACTAGGAGCAAATAGGTGGTACAAGTAAGGCGGCCGTCAGTGACAACTTGTGAGAAGTGTCGCCCTAGAAAGTGAGAGGAAAAGTATGGCACTAATAGTAATGTGAGGTTATCTAGAATCTCTCAAAGACCGACGGTATTAGGTCAGATAGTTTTAAAGGCTCTAGTGTCTAACTATTGTTCACGCATTAATATGACATCCAAAAGTCGGGAGACTGGTAGTGGGAGAGGAAGAAGCGGAAGGTAAGGGAATTTCTCCAAGAGGCCTATAAAGTTGACCAAAGAGCAGGAGGATTGGGAAAGGGAAAATGAAGGGCTAGAGGAGAAGGAAGAAATTCGACTTTTGTTAGGGTTGTACTTGCGTGCAAAGTTTACGAGTGGAGGCCTGTTTAGTCAGAAGTCTGGTCGATCCACAGAAAGGAGGCGAACATGATGGATAGAGCAAGCTTATTATGCCAACTGTAGTGCTTGCAAAAAAAAGGCACACAATCCTAAGTGTAGTCAGTGAGGTTGTGAGGAAGTAAGTGTCAAACCATCTTGTTCAACTTAGTGACTATATTCAGGCATGAGGGTAGTTGATTAAACTCATCCATCCTAGACCATCTATTTGAGTATACCCATTTGAATCTAAGCGCTAAAATTTATTCTCTTAAGGTCATTTCATTTGAGGTTATCAATTATTCATGTCAGTCTATTGTAAACCTATTCACGTGAAATTATTTATCTAATGCATCTTATTCATGGTTAATTGTTTGGGTTGTCCATCTGAGTTTATTTATTCTGGACTGTGCACTTAAATTCATCCGTCTGAGCTAATCCAATTTCGCTATTCATCTATGTTTATTTCACTTAAGTCCATACATCTGGATTGCTCCCCTATAAGGGGTAAAGAAGCTACGCAGAATCCACATCCGACGCGGGTTTGGGGGTGAATGGAGTGACCGACTCCTTGGGAGAAGAAATTTTCTTCAAGATGTGGTCAATGTGTAGAGTCTATCCTTGGGGGAGTTACAATCCTAAGTTATCATTTCCCTGACAGATGGCTTGAAGAAGCTATAAATTTTTCTTCTAGGGTAGTAGTGAGACTTGCGCCGGAACTATGTTCCTGGTTCATAGTGGGGTGTTGTCACCTGACCCTTTGAGCAATGGTGGCTACATTACTACTGAGAAGGAGGAAAGTGTTTGAGCCTTGTTAGACTATGGTCTATGATGAAGACAACTACTGCATGCCGCAAGGAGGTAGGGGGTGCTTCCCCAACTATCTTTGTGTCAAGTGGGTTCATCGTCACGAGAAAGGATATATCATCCTAGAAACGTGTGCGGTGAGGTTGTCTGCTAATTGACAAGGGTCTGCAAGGAACGGATATTGGAATCCGAGGGTCAAGCAGTGAGGCTTGGTCCTTGAGCGGGGCTCTGGAGTCTAAGATGTTATCCCTTTAAGGGATTACACTGCCCCTTGACACAATATACTCTTGTCAAAGCCCAGGGAGTAGAATTTTGTATTCTCATTATCTTTGCATCCAAAGACATTTATCATTAAAAATTTTATTGACTATAGCATGAGTGTTAGCTATGATCGTAGCAAGATACCATAAGTTTTTCGTCATCACTGATGTATGCATATGCTTACTCAACTATTATAATTATTAAATATTGTGATTACTGTGACATTAAATCTTCACTATGAGTAACAATCATTATAATAATTTACGACCTTCAAAAATTGCAAATGCATTGCTATCGTCATATACTATTGTGATCTGCTTGAATGGTCTTAGGCGTTGGAAATTAGCAATCGTAGTAAGGTATGGTTTGAATATTACCTTCGGGAAGAATATTGTAGGAAAAACAGACTCTGGATAGTGATGGGAAGTGTTTGCTGGACGTTTGTCCGTGTGAGCAGAACCTAGGGGTAGAAGAAGAAGGTCAGAAGCAATAAGGTCAGAAGTGGAAGCTTCTTTGGCACCAAAAAAACGCACTTCAGGGATTGTTGTAAGGTAGTAGCTAAGTACACTGAGTTGGGAATGACTAAGTATCACGTACGCGGAAGATTGGTGACCATCACTGGACAGATAATCCTAGGGTGGCAGAGCGGAGCTCGATAGGATATTGGGATTGGCCATCACTTTCCTAGATTAAAGACAAGTGGGTGTATGAACTTCTGGGTAAATTGAGGTGTTTGTTGGGTAAGAGAGAACATGGATAAGTAGATTGCAGTCTGAAAAGAGGACAAGTGTCTTTTCCTTGAGTTTTGATAGGATAAAGGTTTAGAGTAGATGATAGTATAGGAAAATGCATAGACATTTGAGGATAAGGATGGGAAAGATGAGTCACAAGTTTGACTCATTATAACATACTTTATATTTATATATATGTATCCAAAGGGGATGAGCTGGTGACCACGAACACTTTCACGTTGTGAGTGAATCCTTGTCTATGATTGAGTCTTTTGTAAGTCAGTATCTCCCTTTGTTTATCATTATTGGACTCATTTGAGGCCTAGAGATGGTGGTAGAGGAATGGACGGATCAGTGCTTTGTGTGAAAGTCAGTAAAATGTTGTATTATCAAGATGTTGGAAGGTTTGATTATATGTTTGAGAAACCATGCTATGACATGGACGAACTTTTTTCAATGAGTTAAAACGTTTGCAATCATTTCTTTGAATGAGATGTTTGTTTTGGTGGTTTCAGACAAACAAAGAGTCAACAAATATTTATTTCATTTAAAAATAATGGTTTTATATATATATATATAATATAAATGACCCCGAGGTGCGTGCCTCACCGAGCTATGATCAAAGACTTGGAGGGCACAACCTTGAGTGGCAGTCTGACAATTGCTCAATTTATTGAAAATCTCCTTTATTTCGTTTATTTAAAAAACATCGTTCATCCACCCCAAGGGTTAACCTGAGGGCATAAATTACCAAGCCTATAGTGGAAAATTGACATCGTTGGGACGTAACTCCAGCGTGGGCTGCTGACCTAGCATAACCAGTCAGCGGACCCTTCGACTATGGCCTCGAAGAGAAACTAGAGGGGTGGCCACCCCAATGAAAGGATCTATTCAGGTGGATGTCGAAGGGGTCTAGATTGGTCTTGAAATCTATAATTTTAAAGATAGGATGAATATCCCATCGTTGCGCAACCAACGAGGGTAACCACCAATAAGCAACAACGCGGTGGACCGCAGCTCCGGCCTGATCAGCAGGAATGTGGTGGGTCATGATGAAGATCGTTGTCCTCCTGTATTAGGCTTCGGGTAGGACGACGGACATCTTTGGATTGTGATATCAAGAGTTGAACACCCAAGGTCTCGGTTAGGACCCACGTTTATCGGGATAAGTTCATACGGGAACACCAACCCTGAAAACAACCAACGAATACCTGGGTAAAAAGTCTAAGGGTGTGGGGAAAGGAAAGGCGCGTTGTCATACTTAACTATTTCATATACGGTAGTACTGATCAAGTATCCCCACTTCAAGTCATTCAGTTATTTTATAATGTGGGAGACCCGGGATAGAATCCTGGCAGTAGTAATAAAAAGTGAGGTGACGACGTCAATCATGAACCACATCTTATTCCAGGATTCGGATTTGACGATTTGCTTGTCGGAAAACATCTTTTGTTTGCATATAGTTCTCCAAGCAACGGGGACGTCGCTTAATGGGGTCTGGATACTGTCGGACCAAATACCCTTACAAGGGTATTTGGCCATGCTTTTGCATTCGACACAGTGGCTACGTCGGCTACCATGACGAAGCCAGTCTGGAATGGAAAGGGTGTGCACGCTTGAGCGT